TGGGTAGTCGAAGGCATACAGTTGCGTTCAAAATATTTAGATTATGGCGTTAAATAGGGCTGTTGATATGCCGCTAAACAAAATCAACCAATGCACCACATTTCGGACGTTGAACGCACAGCGCAGGGAAAGAAAACTTGGCGATTTGAGTCAATAATGGGAATAAAAGGGAATTTCAAAATATATAAAGTTGAAAGCATATATTTGCGTACAAAATATATAAAGTTGAAATCATATTTACTTTTAAAATATATAAAGTTGAAAGCATACATTTGCGTTCAAAATATATAAAATTGAAAGCATAGAATAGCGTTCAAAATATGTAGATTTCGGCATAGGGGTTGATAAACACTAAACAATATCAACCAAGCAAAATCCCAATTAATTTTTCCTTAATACTTCTATGTAAGTATCTGTTGTTGTCTGTTACGTAATAATACATTTTTTCTACTTCGTGAAATATAACCCCCCCTCTTTAAAGCCCATGGCTCTAAAGAATTAAAAAATGATTCCGTAAAGGTCGGGAGGATAGAGTTAATGTACATTATCAGGATGATTATAAATAATTTCAGAATGAATTATAATGGTTCATTATATACTGGGTTGGTCAAAAATCTTTTAGAATTTTTTTTAGGAACCTTTAGTTTTGAGTTAATTCCACATGATCGCTTTTCATTGTAATGTTTCTGTTGTCATAAAATCATCCTGATTTTTTTTTAAATTCATAATTGGAGTATTTTAATAAAAGATGCAAGAAAATAAGCACTTTTCAACATATAACTTAAGTTTAAAAAAACGAAAAAAGGAATCAACTCGCACGCAAAATTATGGCTATTTCTGGAGAAGGTGGTGAAAATGATTGTACGTGTCAAAAATGATTTGCGAAAATTCCTCAAAATCTCGCAATCTATCCTGGGAAATCATTTTCTTCGTTATGTTGACCATTTTGAGTTGTTAGTTTTATTTCAATTAACCAAAAATAAATAACGGGTCGTATTTAAATGCTTCGATTTTGAAATAAATTGAGATGGACAAGAGTAAATGGCTAATTTTTAACAACGGTAAAAAGAAATCGTGGATCAAGCGAAACCAAACACCACAAAGCGTGTAAAAGCTCAGGCGTCACCCCCACCCAAATGTTATACTGTGTATCTGGCGTGAGTGTAAATTAACATTCTACTTTGAGTTTCCTTCCTATGATGAATGACTTTTTTTTTAAATAATTTCACCCAATGAAGGCGATAATGCCACTAAGATGCAACGGTTTACTAGAAGTGGAAGAGAATATAAAAAACTTTAGTGAGAACAAAGGACAAGAAAAGAACAGGTTTCAGAAAGACGGATGAATTTCTGAAGATCGTAGGAAGCAGGGGAGCAAGAAATCCGGAAGAGAGTTCCACAGGCAAGAAGTGCAAGAAAAGAAACTATTAAAATGGAACTGATGGTTGCATCTAGCTATTTTGACAGTAAAATGGTGACACCTAGTTGCTAATCCAGTAGCAAGCTTAAGTTAATGCAGCCGAAGAACCAAGGCGGAAAACATCACAGGACAATTGTCATGAAAATATTTCTAAAACTGTAGGAAGCCAGGTCACAGCTGTAGGACAGTAACTGAAGCTGAGATGCCAGGTCAGGGTCGATAAATTTACAGACCCTTCTTTGGAGTTTGTCAGGAATCTCGAGGCATTATTGTTTCGACCGTGTATTGTTTGATATACTGAAATGTAATTGGTAATTGTCATATTTGATAATGACTTATGTAAGCCGAGAGCTCAGATTGGATTTAAACATGTATCAATATGGTGATTTCCTTTCGTTTTTCAATAATAATGTTATTAATTTTACCAGACAATATGAAAGGAACTTCCTTAGAATAAATAGACATAATTTGTCAATATTATTTAATGAAATAGGCATTAATGAAAAAATTGCTCCTAAATATACACAATATATATATATATATATATGAATGTAATGTAATAGAGAGATATGTAGACTGAAAAATATTGAGAGATATAGAGGGATTAATATATATATATATATATATATATATATATATATATATATATATATATATAAAGTATATAATTGGTATACACAGAATGAATTCCAATAACCAACAATTACTATTCTTAAAAAAGTGCTCAATACAAAGTAGATATATATATAATTATTTTTTCAAAAAATTAAATTATAACATAAGTATGTTATAAAATCACTACAAAAATAGCCATTTTGTTTCAAATACTCTATGTCTTATCAAGTGATGATTTGAAAAGAAAATAAATGGTTTTAAAATAAAATATTTTCAACACCATCACTTGATAAGATAAGATATGTTGAAACAAAATGGCTATTTTTTGATTTTATAATGATATACTTATGTTATAAAAAATTTTAAAAATAATTATATATATATATATATATATATATATTGTGTGTGTGTGTGTGTGTGTGATATATGTGTGTGTGAAATGTGTGTTTGTGTATGTGTGTCTGCATCTGCGTCAGCATGCGCATATGTAATTTAAAAAAGAGAAAGAGAAAGAGACAGAATAGGTTGATAGATTTTTATATATATATAGAGAGACAGATGTTGATTACATATATATATATATATATATATATATATATATATATAGAGAGAGAGAGAGATAAAAAAGATACATATATGATATATATATATATATATATATATATATATATATATATATATATATAAAAATAAAAACAAATAACCTACCTAGGTTTCACTTATTGAATAATTTCGTCAGGGTAAAAAGTTTTTTTTACCCTGAAAATCAGTTTGAGAAACCTAAAACTTTACGTGGCTCTTAGGTTTATATTAGGTTTGATCTATATTTTCTGTATTGAGCACTTTACGCAGTTACTTTTACTCGTTTTGGAGGTTTTTTCCTTTGGACTCTGAGCTTGGACACTGGACGATTGTTTTCGCCTTAAAATTTCATGGCCTTAGTTCTTTCTTTTTTTTTCCTCATTTTTCCTTGGGTACTGGTTTGTTCTACTAAAACCTGAAATACCCAAGGTTTTGCTAACAAAGTAAAAATATATATATATATATATATATATATATATATATATATATATATATATATATATATATATATATGAAGAAAGAACAGTAAGATATATAATCCGGTGTTCTTATACATATTTTTTTTTTTTACAAAATAGTGCTCAATGTAAATTTACAGAGCATTAATATTATAAATTAATTGATTTAAAATATGTTTTTTTTCGCTACACAGTTCTAACCATGATTCAAAAATGGAAGCTAAAAGCCCTGAATTTAATTTTGTAATTAAATTAAAGACATTAGTTCCATTTCATCTTCAAGCGAATTTTGGAGTAACTTTTAAAATTACTGGGTTTTAAATACACAGCTAAAACAAAATTCATGTTTCCAAGGTTACAGATAAATCTATTTTTCTATACGTATATATAGATGTTTTCTATAAAAGCTGTCTGCGTGCAATCCGTGGAGTTAACCTTCAAGATAGGACATCTAACGTAGACCTGTTTAACAGGTGTAATATTAGAGGAATCGAGACTTTATCATACAGTCTCAATTACGGTGGACTGGTCATGTCTTGAGAATGTCTGATGACAGGATACCCAAGATCCTAATGTAGAGCCAGTTAGATCAGGGCTACAGGAATATAGAACGCCCATGGCTAAGATACAAAGACAAGCTGAAAAGCAACTTGTCAGCAGTCAATATACCACATAACACACTTTGAGCGCTTAACCATGGAGCGGATAGAATGGAGATCGACCTGTCTTAGTGGACTCAGCAATTTTCAATCTGCTTGTCTGAATCATCTTCAAGAAGCGAGGGGAATATCTAAAAGGTCACCCAATCTAACAGTGATCTCATCTCACAATCCTCACACTTGGTCCATATGTGGCCTCCTTTGCAAATCACTAGCGGGTCTTAAATGCCACTTAAGATTATCGCACAAAATTTCATAACTGAATCAACTAAGCTGTCAGATCCTCATACGTCGAAACCGACGGGAGAGTCCATTATATATATATATATATATATATATATATATATATATATATATATATATATATATATATATATATATATATATAGATATAATAGATAGATATATATATATATATATATATAGATAGATAATAGATAGATAGATATATATATAGATAGATAGATAAATAAATATTTAATATATTTTTTATATAATATAGATGGGAAATTGATGGCATAATTTTTATTTACATATGCACGTTGTTTTTTTTTTGTATACGGCATTTATATAGTAGGGGCAAAATTCACCGTCTTTGAGAAACTAGTGCACCATGACGCAATTCTAATACGACCATTTCAGAGAGTTTTAATGTCAGTCTGTGGACAGAGCAGAGGATTCAGAAAAACAGTCAGTATCATAGTATTTTTGGTGGGATTAGTGACGGCGATGTTATACCTCCATTCATCTTCCCACAGGGCCTTAGACTCAACACAAAAGTCTACATCCAGTGCTTTGAGGAAGTAGTGCTGACCCTATATCTTGCAACAGGACACTGCGCCATGCCAAAGAAACAGGAGAACCCAGTCATGGCTGTTGGACAATTTCAGCGACCACCTCAACCCGTTACATCTGACCACATATCTCCCCAGACTGCAACCCGCTTGATTATTATGTGTGGGACGCACTTGATCGAGAGACTAACAAAACTCCTTGTAACACCAAAGAGGAACTCAAAGTATAGATTATAGCAGTATTCTCCGCCCCGAAGAGATGCAGGAGATTCTTCAAAAGTCGTTTAAAAATGGCCATGGCCGAAGTTTGTTTATTTTAAATATTTTAATTTAAAATTTAGTATTTCGAGACATTTTGGGGTAATTTTTGTAAATATATCTGTTAAAATGAGATGTCAGTGGTATTTTCATTTTTGCGTCATTTAGACGACAATTTATTCATCACACGCTGTATATATTTATATAAAGAGACTGAAATAGATAGATAGATAGATAGATAGATAGATAGATAGATAGATAGATAAATATTCAGAGAGAGAGAGATATGAAGGGACTGAAAAAGATAGATATTAACGGATTTACAATGATGTGAAAAAAACTGAGAATAATAGATTGATAGATAGATAGATAAGAAAAGATATAGCTAATAGATGGATAAATACACAATTGATATATAAATATAATTATATATCGAAAATTATATGAAAACTAAAAGATAGAAAAATAATATTATATTGACATAGATATGAAAAAACTGATATATTGAATAGATTGGCATCGATAACAAATCGATTCACATTGAAAGAAAGAACGAAAGAAAGAAAGAATGAACGAAAAAGAAAAAAAGAAAAAAGAATGAATAAAAAAAAGAAAGAAAGAATGAATGAAATTAAAGAAAGAAATTTCCCATTTTGAAAAAAAAGAACGAAAATGAAGAAAAAATATATAAACGAAAGAAAGAAAGAATGAAAGAAAGAAAAAAAAAGAATTAAACGAAATGAAAAAAAGAATGAATTTGAAAGAAAGAAAAAAGAAAAAAAAAAAAAATTCTTTATTTGAAAAAAAGAAATTAAGAAAAAAAATTTAAAAAAGAAAAAGAAAGAAAATGTATTCCAGAATAAATTAAGAAAAAAAGAAAAATTTTCCAAGAAAGAATATAAAAAAGAAAGAAATAATAAATTGAGAAAGAAGAAAATGAAAAGAAAGAAAAAAGAAAAAAGATAAAAGAAAAGAAATTTTTTTTTAAAAAGAAAAGAATGAAAAAAAAAAAATGAAAAATGAATAATGAAAAATGAACGAAATAAAAAACGAAAAAAGATTTTGAAAAAAAATTTAAAAGAAAAAAAAACGAAAGAAAGAAAAAAAGAATTAATGAAAATTAAAAAAAAAGAAAGAAAAAAAAAGAAAAAAAAGAACGAAAGAAAGAAAGAAAAAAAGAAAAAGGAAAAAAATTTTTTTTTTAAAAGAAATGAACGAAAAAAGAAAACTTGTTCTAAAAATTTATTGAAAGAAAAAAAAGAAAATCAAACGAAAAGAACGAAAGAAAGAAAGAAAGAAAGAAAAAAACGAAAGAAAAGAAAATTTAAAAGAAAGAAAGAAAAGAAAGAACGAAAGAAAAAAGAAAAAAAGAAATAAAAGAAAATAAAGAAAGAAAGAACGAAAAAAGAAAGAACGAAAGAAAGAACGAAAGAAAGAAAGAAAATGAAAGAACTGAAAAAAAATTAAAAAAAGAAAGAACGAAAGAAAGAAAGAAAGAAAGAAGGAAAGAAGGAAAGAAAGAACGAAATAAAGAGATCCCATTCATATAACACTTTGCGCACACAGATTTAAACATTGCCAATAGAAACAATTTTGCCAGAAAAGGATGGTTTTCATAAAACCTGAATATGAAAAAAACATACCAAACACTAAACACGGAAAGTAAACAGAAAAGATTTTAAATATATTAAATTTACAAGTTTGATTAAATTTTCTACGTGAAAGCGAAAAAAATCAACTTCTACAATTTTTATGTCGTGCTTGGAAATTATGTCGTAACAAGTAAATCATATCTGTCAAAAATTAGTCGTATCAATAAAATGACATTTTTATTCATCGTATCAAATTTCTGGATTCGCAGTTGAGATTTTTTTTTCTTAAATGATTATATCTCTGCGTTGGCCATGGATGTTTATTCATTTTGTTAGGCAAAAATAAGATATTAAATTTATTCAACTAAAAGTTGTCAATTTTTTTTTATTGAATGTTATTAACCAGCCGATGCTGGTAAAATTTTTATAATGTATTTTGTATATTCATATGAGTTATATATTCATATGATTTATGCATTTGAATATATAATATCTGTTTAGTAAAAGTGTTGATAATATACAGGTTACGATGTTTAGTAAAAGTGTTGATAATATACAGGTTACGTTGGAGAGCATATTTTATTGGCTGGGAAGGTTTCCCTAATCGAATGCAATAAGCAAACATAGCATCTTCCATATTGCCATTTTATTGTGATATTAACAGAATGGTCACCTTG